GTGTAAATAAATAGTTTTTGTCGTTGTGAGTAAATTTTGTTAAACCCACGAACATTACAATACATTTGTGTTTTATTTATAAAGTTAACTACATTATTTTGTAAAACAAAAGTGTTGCAAAGCGTATACTAAGTGTTTAGTAGGACTTACCGGATTTTTGGAAAGAAGTTTGGCGTAAGCAAAATACGGATTCCATTTGGGCTGCTTTGCGAATAATAATAGAATGCGATTACAAATCTAGTGCTCTCGAAAACTCTACGAACCGTTTGCTACTATTACATTTTTAAAACAAACTACAAAGATAAGTATAAAATTAAGTGTACAACAAATACGAAATACAGAAGTAACTAGGTCGTGTCCCATAATTGATTTGTGATAGATTTAGAGCACGCGATAATTCTGTCGATACTCTCTGTACCTACTTACAAAATACACACTAAATAAAAAAAGAAGCTTTAATGGATTTAAGTCAAAGCGTTATTTACGTGGTAAAACACTTAAATAACCATGGAGTTTTTATATTTGTATACAAGTACATATACATTACTCTACTTAATAGAAAAGTGACCTTATTTTTTTAATGAGGAACTTACTGTTTGCGTTGGTTGGGGAGCATATGTGCTTCCCCTATGTACTCTTCTTTCGAACATAAGGTTTGCATAAGGAACTTGGGCATCGCTGCAACAAAATTATTTCTGTAATGTTAATTTTTATTTTTTATATTTTATCGCTAGTTAATTGAATAATGATGAAGTTGCTTTTAAAAAGTTTAGAATGTTTAAAAATTAGAATAAAAAAAATTGTCATCGGTGAGGTTCGATCTTTCTCTTCGTTAAAGTATAATAAAGAATAAAATATATGTTGCCTGGGAAAGTGTATATGACGTTCTCGGCTGAAGTATCAGCAGTCATGGCCGAGCGGTTAAGGCGTCTGACTAGAAATCAGATTCCCTCTGGGAGCGTAGGTTCGAATCCTACTGACTGCGAAACTTTTTTGTTACTAATTTTTTTATTTGTTAATTAAATTGCTTTGTTACTACATCCTTAACGACAGTACAATATTTTTGCCTGATTTCAGAGACGAAAGTGCAACATTTCCTCCTTGGTAAGGAAAAGCATTTAATCCTTATTAAGAAAGGATTTTACCTTCCTCCATGTGGTTTCCACGCTCGTTTTCGACTCGGTTGACAATTTCCACATGGAGAATGTTTAAATACTTTTCTAATAAACGGTAAATGCGATTTCTTATCTGGGAGGTTACTCTGCATTTTTCTTCCTTGAACCAAGAAAAATCGTATTTTTGGTACAGGAATATATGATCAAAAATCGTATAAGGACCTCGGAAAGAGAGTACGGAACCCCCTTCCGGGAGTTTCACACCCAAAAGGAAATTCTGTACGCATTTTCTTCCCTTGGTGCTTTATATTATGTTTCCACATTGTCACAAGAAACATATAGTAAATAAGTAAAATTACCAGAGAAATCATGAAGAACGAAGATGAATAAACTAAATTTTAAGTGTTTAATCAAAACAGTCGAGATATAAAGCACATCCACTATTGCATGTTACATTAAATTACCCATCAGTTTTGGATTTGGCGAATTTTTCCCTTTTTTATTTAGCCTGTGATCGTGTGGGTAATTTAAATTGTTACAGAAAGCAAAGTTTTCTAAATTTTGTAAAAAAGGGGACTTGTTGGAAAACAATGTTGATTTTCATTTAATTGCTGATAGCAGCAATTTCACTTCCAAAACTTTATGGGTGTGTAAGCTTTCCACAGCTTTTATTCGAGACCAGAGAAATTAAAAATTTATGAACTTTCAAACTATATGTATCATTGTAGGGGTAGGTAATTGATCGTGTAATTATAAGGTTCAAATACAAATGAAAAGATTTTTATAAAATCGTTGAAAGATTATTTATAATTAGCGTAAAACTTTGTGGAACCTCATAAAGTTACAGTGTGGCTAAACAATTGTCGTTTTTTTTTTAAATTTTGGAAAACACTAGTTAATTACTTAAACAAATCGAATCAAAAACATTTTCCAGGTAAATGACAGCTAGTAAGGACGAAGAAATACAATTTAAAGGATTTAATTTATAACTTTTTATTAACGGTATACATAACTATTTTTACTGATGAAATAAATTGGTTGGCGAAACATATGTAGCAAATTAATAAAAAGCTGTGAATTTTTTAAATTGCATTTTCTCATTTATATTGTGAATTTTTATCAAGTAAAAGCTGAAAAAAAACTATTCTATTTTATATTCATAATCAAATTGCGATTTTTTTCTAACTCGGGCTTATTTTTTTTTTTGGTTCTTTGGCGTACAATACTAAGATTTTTATCTTACTCGAAATTCGAAGAGTGGAGGTCTACATTGTATTAATTGACCTTTTAATTCGAAGTATTATAAATTTTCTTCGGAAGAATGATCGATAACTAATGACTCGAGTTTTTAAGTGGAACTACTACCCCTATAAACTTTCCCTACGCCAGTCAGCACATTTTATATATATATTATGAAAAACAGTTAAAACGCTGTTAGATTAGGACCATAAGGTTAGGTTAGGTTAGGTTAGGAGAAGACAAGACAACCGATGTACTTTTTTGTGATCGAACAACAGTAATAGACGTAGCGATGTTATCGAAACAAAAATTAAAAAGTGTGACGATAAGGCAGAAATTTTCCCTAATTTAAATTTTCTCTAACTCGACTATAACTGATTCCATTTAAGAGACTGAATTTCAGGAAGATTGACTCTACATAATTGTATCTAGATCAGTACTGTATGAAAATAAATAAAAGTAAAACTAAAATACTCGTATGCAAGGGAAGAAAAAGTAGGGAAAGAGCGGATATAAAGATAGGAGGCAAAAAATTAGAAAAAGTGGCTGATTTTAGATACCTAGGAAGTCAGATAAGTGAGGATGGAAGGAGTANATCAAAATTTTACCTTTGGAAATGCTTTGGTAATAGTTTTAGCAGCTAGTGGGGTACAAAATAAATTACTTAATATAATACACTCTTCTTGAACACCATGTTCTTTAAGCACATTAACAGCCTGTATTACAGTATTCCCAGTAGACATTATGGGGTACATTAGTAAAACCTTAAAATGATTTATGTCAGTAATATTTGTATGCCCACTGCAAGGTTAGTATGATATGTTTACCCCAGTTTTTTCATTACAAAAGTAGTAAAAAATGAATCTGAATTTAGTTTGGAACAAATTTTTCACTCACCTGGCAGTGGCTTTATTCTAAGACTGTATTTGTTAAAAATATATTAAGTTAGAGTATTACCTGTCTTTTAGATATATCATCAGGAAATCTTGCATAAACTACTTTAGCTTCATGGGTTTCGATATCTGATTCAACTAAAATCTTTCCTATGCGAATACTTCTACAACAATCTCTTAAGCCCTGCTCCATAGCTTCTCCAGATCTCACAATTGATACTCCACAATTGCCTGACCTATATTTTAAACCTTCATATGTAGCACCAGTGGGAGTGATAACTTTACAATCAGTAAATGGCAATTGATTTAAACTTTCTTCAATAACCAATCGTATGAGCCGGTCCCCATAAAATTTGAAGTCACTTCTGGTGGTGTTCCTGTCTCGCAGAATTGTTTGTAATTCTTTTATTTGATCATTAGCAGGTAGAACTTTCAAATTTTTACCGAAATCATCGAAATTATTTTCAATTCCTCTGGTCATTTCCAAATCAGAACTTCCCATAACAGTGTATTTCAGACAATGAAGAAAGGTTAAGTGCTATTTGTAAGGTAGCACGTTTTTTGTGTAAAATTCGTAAAACCTACAATAGTGTGATATATTTTAATAGTTATAGTTATTAATAATCAATTCTTCAACATGCATACTTATTATTAAAAAAAAAATAACAAATTGTGAAAGAAGTGAATACTTACGTGCAGAGGTAGAGAGGTTATGTGCAAATGAAGTCCGAAAAGCGCATTTGGATTTCCAAACATCATGATTTTGCTAAACGCAGGTTTTTGCAAAGATAGAGATAGCAGCATTTTTAAATGTATTCTTGTTAACGCTTCCTACACGATGCCGATCCGATATTTGGTTTGATTCCTGCTGTTTGCAGATAAATAAACCAAACACCAGTGCTATCATGTGAATGTGTATATAAAGTACATGTAGGTAAAATATAACGCATAAACATAACATGAACATATAACAAATATATCTATCTATACATGTAATATTCACATATAACATTATTATATAAATATTGGCTGCCTTTATGTTTACAATTTAAATAATACATATATACCTAGTATGGGTAGAACATACAGATCTAGAAATAAAAAAAAGAGGCAACAAATCTTCGTCCATTCAGAAGAAACTAACGAGTACATAATAAACTTAAAAAGGTGGATGATTCAAAGGGGGTGGGAAAACATATCGGATTTAGTGTTGGCTAATTTCAGTACCACAGAAAGGGGATTGTACTCAAAAAGAAAAATAGCCGAAAACGATAGAATTATAAGTATTCCCTTGAAACTAATGATAACATTCGGAACTATTGCTAGCACTTCTTATATGCTCGAACTTTTTAACCCTGAAGATGGAAAATTAACAATCCATGAACTTATTTCGATTTTTATTGTACTTGAACATCATAAAAACGACTATTCTTATTGGAAACATTATTTCAAATCACTCCCACGCAGAGTCCAAATTCCGTGGATTTGCTCTGATGACGAACTTAAACTTTTTCCCAGTTATTTGCAACCTTATGTTCAATATAGACGTTTCAAACTCGAAAATAGTTGGCAAAACGTTTTAAATTTGACGAATAACAATTGGAGATGTTCGTGTTGCAAACAAGATGGGTTTACTTTAATCACGAAAGAGATATTCGAATGGGCATATGTAATCGTGAATACAAGAGGGGTTTATATCAACCCGAACTTTTACCAAGTACCGAATAATTGGCCAATTCTTTCTGATGAACCCAATATAGCCTTATGCCCTTTTTTGGATATGTTTAACCATTCCGATTTAGCCAATACTGTAGCCAGTGTTGTAAATGATAATTATGAATTAATATCATTGACTAATTATGATAAATATGAACAAATTTTCATATCGTATGGTTGTCACGATAATTTAAAACTATTTTGCGAATATGGATTTTTTATCCCCGGCAATAAACTGGACAACGTTCAACTTAATATTAAAAATCTTTTCAATTTAAAATTGATTAAATTAGATCGTCGACAATATAATTATGCTAAGGAGAAAGCCTTCACTGAAGATTTGTTTGTGGACTTTTCTGGTCCCTCTTTCAACTTTAAAGGACTTCTTTTTATCAGCTTTAACACTGATTATCACGTTTGGAACGAAGTTATTTTTAACGAGAACTATTCTGTAGACGATCGTAAAAAAATGTATGAAATTTGTGTGCTCCTTCTTGAAAAAAACCTTAAAGAACTTACGCTCGAAATGGAATCGTTCGAAAATAGAAAATCTTTTGTTTCTGCAGACATTTTTGAATCAGTATCGGCTTTTACAAAATGTAGGTTAGATTTCGTAAAAACATTAATAAACAATTATAATATGTATTTAGGAAAACTAAGAAAATAATTATGTTTCATGTTTATTAATATTTGTTATGTACAATATAATGTATGTATAATAAATATTTACAATTTTTCCTTTATTTTTTTTTTTTTTGGTAAAAGTGACAAAAATGCATGTTTGAAGATTAAGCAATAATTTTATTGATTATTTATTGCGGTGGTCCTTGTGGTTCTAAAATGAAAATGTAAATATTGTTTAAACTAATATTTTTATATCATAATGATTTAAATACCTGGAGGAAATGCTGCTTGAATTTCTGATTGAAGCTTGAGATGTTCTTTCAAATATATATCTTCGTCTAACACTCCTCCCTCCTCTTCAGGTTCAGGGAATGGATGCTCTGCATAGAGAGCCATGTACATATCTGCTCTATTCTCCAAGATCTCTTTGATCAAATCTAAAAATATTTACGAATTATTTACAGCAAAAATGTAAATTTTATTAATCTCACCGCAAAGAACGTCTCTACTGGACACCATTTCGTTTAATTCTTGGGTAACTTCCTTCATTAACCATGGAATGAATGAATCGGTGACATCTGCAACAGAAAATTCGCAGTAAATGTTTACAACATTTTCTGTAAACGCAACTAACCCGTTTTTATTTTATCTGTTAGGAATCCTTCATTTTCAAGTCCTTCCAGGACGTCAGGTAGGAGATCGACCATGTATCCTTGCATCAAAACTGATGCGGCTATTCTTTCTTCCATTTCTTTCTGAATACGTAAGCCCTCGTTGTGGTCTCTCAACCTTCTGTCTTTCTCATCTCTAAGACGCATATCTTCTTCGGCTAGTCTTTGGGCTTCAGCTGTCTCTACTGCTCTCAGTTCCAAAAATCTACGCTGCTGTTCCCTTAAATGTGCTAGTTCTTCCTCTTCCAATACTTCAATCAGCGATTGCTCAATTGTTTTACCAACTAGCACTTCTAGAATCGGTTGCACTTCCAAATCAAAGTCGAATAACTGGAACAACATTGATCTAGTTAATTCTCACTGAATTTATGGTGAAATTGGTTAGAAATGTTGTACCACATTTAGGATCGTTTATGGTATTTGGTTTCTCTCGGGTTTAGTTAGGGTATATTATGTACTTACGTCTCCTGGGTAAATCTGGGTTTCTACGTCAGCTCCAGTTTTAGCTGGTACGTATACGGGTGAAATGGGTCGATCCAGGAATAGATCCGTTTGAGTACAAGTATCTACCATGGGAGGATTGTTCCAAAGTTCTTCCAAAAACTTATCAGTTTGTACAGGTTCATGCCTTCTTCCTGGTACGGGTGGAGGTGATCCAAGACGTAGCTCTGCGCTACGGAATTGCTGCTTTTGGGCTTTCCTTCTCGCAAGAGCCCTTCTTCGAGCTTCAGCGGCTCTTGCTGCAGCCGATTCTCCTTCTCCCTTTTTTCAAAAACACAAATAATCAACTGGGTAAAAAAATGTTTGGTACCTACTTGCATGCCAAATGATTAGGAAGTTCAAGAAAAGATTTAAATTTTATTAAGAACAGTAAGTTCTTAATTGGGAAATCGGTCGGAATTATTAGATCTCATCAGCACGGCATAGTTTCGATCCATATTGTTTTTATACCAAATTTTCTTTCTCTAGATTATATAACGGGAATAAGTGAACACATGTGTTTTTTACTTTAAATTTTCTTTCCCATTAAGTTTATAAGGTTAAAGTCGCTTTTTTGAAAAATATTCGGAAAAGCATACATTAAAAGTGTTTCTTTAAATTTTAAGCAATATACTCATAATAATTATTGACCTTAACAAGTAAAATAGGACATTGTTTTCTTCGTAATTGCAATTCAATTTAATGCATTCAGTTGCATTTGCGATTAGCGTGCAGGAACTCTATGCAATTTTAACATTTGATGAGACATTGAAAATTGACTGAATTAGATACCTGCTACATTCATTCTAATTTTGTCGAAGCAAAGAAATTTAATTTTTCTTACTTAATAATAAACAGTTTCGATTAAAAATAAAGGCGCGTGAATCCTGGAAATTTGATTTTTCGTGTTTCGAAAATTTTTCCGTTTTTGTTGGAACGTTGAAGTGTAGTATACTGCTCGTGAAAGCTATTTGGAAGAAATTTTTATACATTTATCTAGAAATTGCAGGTGAACATGAAAATTTATTGATTACAGTTGTTGGTAAAATAGGACAGGTTGTACAACAATAAGTTGGTTAAACATCAAACCCACGGGAAAAAACAGCGTTTCGATGTCAAAAGAAATTGTTTCGTTCGATGAATAATTTGTGTTACTAATAAAAGACGCAATTGTGTCTATCACATGTGCTTCACCGAAAAGGTTGAAAATGAAATATTAATGCGTAAATGTAAGAACAAATGCTTAATGGCGTATTAAGTGGATAAATATTAGATTTGATCAAAAATAATACAAAAAATTTTTAAGATCACTTATTTAAACTAATTATCCATTTGTTTATTGTAGCAGGTAATTGGTTCTAAGCGTGTAAGTTCATCATGCACCTTTATAAATAAAACATAAATTTTACTTATTTCATTGTAATGCAAGATTTTCTAAAACAATTTAGTGTCACGATGATAAATAACATTTAACAATTTTTTTACTATTTAAATACCATAATTCTTAATATGTTCGTATGTCCAACATTAGTATTAATGTCCACTATTCGTACTAAATGAGAATTCCAAAATCAAAAACAAAAACATCATGGACAATTTGATAAAGGCTTTCGCGGCCAGTAGGTGAAGTAATGCTCTTTTGATTCGGGTCTAGAGGCTGTCGTCGGTTCAAGTTGCTTCCTAACGTTTCGCTAGCACTAGTGATGAATTTCATCAGAGGTCTTTCGATCTCCGATGTTAGATGTGGTAGTTAACCTCTGAAGAAGTTTGTCACCCGTGCTAGTCAAACGCTAAATAGTCTTGGTCTTGGTTTTGGTCTTGCGTGCTAAGTCTTAGTTTTGNTTAGTAATAATTTAATAGTGTTTTTAAGTTCAATAATAATTAGTGTAAATAAATAGTTTTTGTCGTTGTGAGTAAATTTTGTTAAACCCACGAACATTACAATACATTTGTGTTTTATTTATAAAGTTAACTACATTATTTTGTAAAACAAAAGTGTTGCAAAGCGTATACTCAGTGTTTAGTAGGACTTACCGGATTTTTGGAAAGAAGTTTGGCGTAAGCAAAATACGGATTCCATTTGGGCTGCTTTGCGAATAATAATAGAATGCGATTACAAATCTAGTGCTCTCGAAAACTCTACGAACCGTTTGCTACTATTACATTTTTAAAACAAACTACAAAGATAAGTATAAAATTAAGTGTACAACAAATACGAAATACAGAAGTAACTAGGTCGTGTCCCATAATTGATTTGTGATAGATTTAGAGCACGCGATAATTCTGTCGATACTCTCTGTACCTACTTACAAAATACACACTAAATAAAAAAAGAAGCTTTAATGGATTTAAGTCAAAGCGTTATTTACGTGGTAAAACACTTAAATAACCATGGAGTTTTTATATTTGTATACAAGTACATATACATTACTCTACTTAATAGAAAAGTGACCTTATTTTTTTAATGAGGAACTTACTGTTTGCGTTGGTTGGGGAGCATATGTGCTTCCCCTATGTACTCTTCTTTCGAACATAAGGTTTGCATAAGGAACTTGGGCATCGCTGCAACAAAATTATTTCTGTAATGTTAATTTTTATTTTTTATATTTTATCGCTAGTTAATTGAATAATGATGAAGTTGCTTTTAAAAAGTTTAGAATGTTTAAAAATTAGAATAAAAAAAATTGTCATCGGTGAGGTTCGATCTTTCTCTTCGTTAAAGTATAATAAAGAATAAAATATATGTTGCCTGCACAAGTTTTCACCTTTAATGTATTATAAACTGAGTACCAACACTCTCCTGTAAAACATGCAATAAGTTATTTTAATTTATATGTATACATAAAATTTTACCAATACAATCACAGGCAAACAGATAAACGTGCCGTATATTACAACAAAAATAAATTTAAATTGTAAAAGTTTCCACCTTTATTCTATTATTGAATGTGTGCCATGTACCCTTCCAGCAAAACATAAGTTGTTTTAAACGTTTATACAATTTTATATGCACAATACAATTTTTTAAGAAATCGTTTAATTTAAAAACAGAAAAAGTGTGTGCAGAGGTAATAAGAACAAATTCAAAAGTTAAAAATGAGAGACCAGGTGGAAACTTTCGATAATCAGTTATTTATTTATACTATTTGAACACCATAAAATAAATATAAATAACTATTAGATTGAAACTGCAATTTCTTTTGAAACTAGAGTTTAACTTTGTACTTTTTTATCTTTCATAATTATGGGGTAGACTTATATTTATTTTAAAAGGCATTTGTTATAATGTTGATAAACAAGAGGTGATTCATCTTATTGCTTGTATAAAAATACAAAAATTATGCGTAACTAAGGTCCATTTAAATGCAGTTCTTTATGTTTTTGGAGTCATTGCTTAAGTCGATAATTACCAGATCTGCTTTTATTTAAATTTTTATAATGTATGGTACTTAAGTAGAGCACAACTTTTTATATATGGAGCTATGTATTTATTATAATTAATATCTTACTTTGATTGAAATATTCAACAAACTGAAATATATTCTAATTTACCATCCTAAGTACTTGTAGAATACTTACAAATTAAAATTATTTTTTTGTTTTTAAATAAATCAAATTACTAATAATCACAATCCCAAATTAAATACAGTATAAATTCTATAATGAAGTCTTAATCTGTTCCAAAGTACTTCTGTCCAAAATGATTTGGAGCAACAGGATGAACTTCAGAAGTCAGAATTTTCATCTTAAATGTGATGGAAATGTATATTAATTAGATATTTTTATAACATTTAAATAAATCAAAATTTTACCTTTGGAAATGCTTTGGTAATAGTTTTAGCAGCTAGTGGGGTACAAAATAAATTACTTAATATAATACACTCTTCTTGAACACCATGTTCTTTAAGCACATTAACAGCCTGTATTACAGTATTCCCAGTAGACATTATGGGGTACATTAGTAAAACCTTAAAATGATTTATGTCAGTAATATTTGTATGCCCACTGCAAGGTTAGTATGATATGTTTACCCCAGTTTTTTCATTACAAAAGTAGTAAAAATGAATCTGAATTTAGTTTGGAACAAATTTTTCACTCACCTGGCAGTGGCTTTATTCTAAGACTGTATTTGTTAAAAATATATTAAGTTAGAGTATTACCTGTCTTTTAGATATATCATCAGGAAATCTTGCATAAACTACTTTAGCTTCATGGGTTTCGATATCTGATTCAACTAAAATCTTTCCTATGCGAATACTTCTACAACAATCTCTTAAGCCCTGCTCCATAGCTTCTCCAGATCTCACAATTGATACTCCACAATTGCCTGACCTATATTTTAAACCTTCATATGTAGCACCAGTGGGAGTGATAACTTTACAATCAGTAAATGGCAATTGATTTAAACTTTCTTCAATAACCAATCGTATGAGCCGGTCCCCATAAAATTTGAAGTCACTTCTGGTGGTGTTCCTGTCTCGCAGAATTGTTTGTAATTCTTTTATTTGATCATTAGCAGGTAGAACTTTCAAATTTTTACCGAAATCATCGAAATTATTTTCAATTCCTCTGGTCATTTCCAAATCAGAACTTCCCATAACAGTGTATTTCAGACAATGAAGAAAGGTTAAGTGCTATTTGTAAGGTAGCACGTTTTTTGTGTAAAATTCGTAAAACCTACAATAGTGTGATATATTTTAATAGTTATAGTTATTAATAATCAATTCTTCAACATGCATACTTATTATTAAAAAAAAAATAACAAATTGTGAAAGAAGTGAATACTTACGTGCAGAGGTAGAGAGGTTATGTGCAAATGAAGTCCGAAAAGCGCATTTGGATTTCCAAACATCATGATTTTGCTAAACGCAGGTTTTTGCAAAGATAGAGATAGCAGCATTTTTAAATGTATTCTTGTTAACGCTTCCTACACGATGCCGATCCGATATTTGGTTTGATTCCTGCTGTTTGCAGATAAATAAACCAAACACCAGTGCTATCATGTGAATGTGTATATAAAGTACATGTAGGTAAAATATAACGCATAAACATAACATGAACATATAACAAATATATCTATCTATACATGTAATATTCACATATAACATTATTATATAAATATTGGCTGCCTTTATGTTTACAATTTAAATAATACATATATACCTAGTATGGGTAGAACATACAGATCTAGAAATAAAAAAAAGAGGCAACAAATCTTCGTCCATTCAGAAGAAACTAACGAGTACATAATAAACTTAAAAAGGTGGATGATTCAAAGGGGGTGGGAAAACATATCGGATTTAGTGTTGGCTAATTTCAGTACCACAGAAAGGGGATTGTACTCAAAAAGAAAAATAGCCGAAAACGATAGAATTATAAGTATTCCCTTGAAACTAATGATAACATTCGGAACTATTGCTAGCACTTCTTATATGCTCGAACTTTTTAACCCTGAAGATGGAAAATTAACAATCCATGAACTTATTTCGATTTTTATTGTACTTGAACATCATAAAAACGACTATTCTTATTGGAAACATTATTTCAAATCACTCCCACGCAGAGTCCAAATTCCGTGGATTTGCNGAAGAGACGATCGCCGAAGTAGAGTAGAAATAAATTGACCGTTGCAGAGGTGAATCAAGAGATAAATTGAAAGTGATAGAAGTGAAATAAATAGGACAGTGAATAGTAACAGTACTGTAAATAAATAGAATAATTACCGAAGTAGTAATAATTTAATAGTGTTTTTAAGTTTAATAGTAATTAGTGTAAATAAATATTTTTCTTCTTAAAATTTAATTTGTTAAACCCACGAACATTACACTATCATATTATATTTTGTACACGCATTGTCAGGGATATAGAAAAAGACGTACGGTACCTTTTATCCAGAAATAGGATACTGTTTTCTAGGGATAGAAGTCTAGATATATGTGACCGTCGATAATCTTTGACGCATATTTAGGACATCAACGCGAGCGAAGTCGTAATTTTAAATTAAATTTAATTTAAATTTTTGATTAATTAAATTTTGAGTATTTTGTACACGTATTGTAAGGGGTATGAAAAAAGTCATAGAGTACCTTCTACTCAGAAAACAAATGCTGTTCCCAAGGGATAGAAAAATTAGTATTATGTGGTCGTCGACGATTTTTGACACGTTCTTAGTCAGTTTTTTGCATGTTTGAAAGTATTCTTAAATTATTATTTTGCCGGCAGATTATTCATTATTTAGGCTAGGTTTCTTTGAATTAAAAAAAAAGCTTTTGAGTATGTTGTAAAATAAAGATGGGTTTATTGGATTTTTTCACACATATTTTGCGTAGTAGCCTTGACGGTATTGAACTGAGATTTCTTGTCGGATATGCAAATATTCTTCATTTAGTCGTGAATTAATGGGATCATGGACAGCAATATCGTCTACGTACCTCAACATAATGGACGTTGTATCAAGACATGTAATTATTATGAAAAACTGATTGTTACAGTGACAGAAAAATATGTTCACACAGCACGTGCTAAAAAAGGGGAAGCGAGTATTTTTAATATCTATACAGTTGACGACAGAAAAAGTGCAATCAGTTATTATATCTGAAAATTGTGCTATTATAGGTCAGCAATAAAAAGAATATGTGACATTACGAGTTTTTTTTATTTGTTCTACCCCGCAGGGCACAAGTATTACTCAGAGTTATATGTCATAACATACCCTATCCATAAAAATTGTATTTATTATAAATAAAAATGAACAAAGTACTAATTGCAAACTATTAAAATTAAGAAACGCAAAAAAAGCTCTTTGGTAAGTAAATTACGATTTTATCTTTATGATTAATCATCAATTCGACCACCAAAATCGAGTGGCGTTGGTCAAGTTGACGGGCAATTTTTTAAAAAGGCTTTTGTGAAACACAATGTATCCTAACTTCATTTAGAATACATTGGTAGCGCAAATCGATCCTAACTGTACGAGAGGTTAATGGACTGAATATTCTTGGGGCACCAAGGTTAAAGGAAATTGAGGGTATACCGTCACATGAATTAATGACTTGAATAGCACGATAAGAAAATTCTAGTTAAATAGTTTTTCCGAGAAAGCTTCTTGTTAAATTTGTCCAGACATTTTTTTTGCAAAGCTCTATAGGATATTACACGCAAACTGTGATTAGCAAATAGAAAAAATTGCAATTGGGTAATTGAAAAAAAATCAATGAAAATTTCAAAATATATGGAGTGCATGGCCTAGAGGTCTACACCATTTCTCCGGGAGGACGCCGGTTCGATTCCGGGTCCGTCTGCCTTGGTCCAAGTTTTTCTGTGGTTTCCTTGGATCACTTAGGCAAATGCTGAGGCAATAATATTCCACAGATAATCTTTCACTCTCTTCTGTCTTCATTTCGTCCGTCTCATCTTTCTCACAATTAGATTAGTGGCAATGTTTGCGTAGAGATTTAACTGAAATCATATTGAACAGTTTGTACTTACCCACAACTTGAAAGATTTTTATAATATAAGTTTACATTAGATTGATAATTTGTTATAATTTTATAGTTAAATTTAAATATTATAAATGAAGGTGTTCTGTGAAAATTGATTTTATTATGGGGCTTCATTTCAAATAATCATTAAGCCTACATGAGGTGTAATAACAACACTAATCTCACAAGCTATTGCCAAAAGTCGCTACCTTGAAATCTGAGATAGCATATCAAACCCTGCCTTTAAAATTTTCGGTAATATCACTGACTCCAATAACATTAAGATCTTAAAAAGAAGTACAATTCTGCTCACAGTGTCACAATTCAAATACTCAGGCTTAAATTCAGCAGTGATGACAATATGGATAATGATCAATCATGGAACCACAACTGGTTGGGAGATGTAGGGATAACTTACAGGTGTATGACAAAAAAATGCTTCTTAATAAAGTCAATGAACATTCTTATAAGACATGGCCCAAAATGTTGAGCGACCAACAACCAAACTTAAATGCCACACACATACAACAGACAAAATCCAAAATGAGCTCATGGGCAGCTTCACAATTGCACCGATTAGTGACAAAATAAAAAGAAACACTTACAGCAGTAGAAGCAAGCCTGTAGCTGTTATAAGGGTAGGCATTGCGGTGCAGCAGGGTCTAAGCCTCAGGCGTCAGGAGGTCTTCGTCTTGGATATAATAATTGTAGCTATGCCTAGCTAACTAAAGAGAGATCAGTCATTCAGTCTGCTTGTGAAACAGGAGCTCAGTGACGATGTAACCAGGGTGTATTTGGGAGACAGTAGTCAAAAAGAAGAAAGCTGGAATATTTTGCCCACGTAATGAGAGATCCAAAATATGAACTGCTCCATACAGTTATGCAAGGAAAAATAGAGGGAAAACGTAATTGTGGTCGCTGAAGAGCATCTTGGCTGAAATATCTTCGCTAGTGGTATGGAGGAGTGAGTACCACGGCACTGCGGACAACTTAAAGATCATGCAACTGATCAACAATGTTCTGTAGAAGATAATCATTAAAGACAGGAGGGAAGGCTACTTTATTGAATTATGCACCTTGTACTTATATTACAATATTTATTTGGTTCATATGTAGATTGAAGATTTAGCATTTTGGTTCTCACATAATAATTTCTTGGATTTGTTCGATTGACAGCGATGACAAGTGTGCTGAACCTACTTCTACGTACGTATTCATATATTTGTATGGTATACTGAGTGTACTCACAGGACCCTCTACCTACTGATCACTCGACGTCCTGAAGAGGTTGTTCTTGTTGACTTAAGCAATGTTGTTAGTGGTTACAGGCAAGGAAGAGAGTTGTAAATGTTGTCCTTCTATCATGATGTATGCTGGTTGGAGTCTGTGAATGAATACAGTTTTTTCTCTTTGACAGCTGAACGGTGATTGCGCAGTACTTTAAAAGGACCATTGTAGCGAGCTTTTTAGACGTAGTCTGTAGTTTGAAGGGCCTTATAGAATATGTACGATTGACCCATAATGACTTTCCACATATCCTTGGATCACTGAGGCAAATACTTGGACAGTAATATTCTACAGATAGTCTTTCTTTCCCTTCTGTCTTCATTCATTTCGTCTGTCTCATCTTTCTAACCCGACCCAGCACCCACCCATTGCTACGATTCCACAAAGGGGGCTGAAGAGGGCCTTCTGTCCCACTTTCCGACGTAGTTCGGAGGGACTGCCCGCCCACCAGTGGCTGGTGGGAATAACACACCCAAAAAAAAAAATACTCAGGGTCGGATAAGACAAAAAGGGGCAGTTTGACCGCTAAAAGCTATGCTGGAGTAGCAGCAGTGCGTCTTGACTTTGGTTGGCTTAAGGTACCCTTTTGTTAAGTAGTAAGTGCTGTAGGTGACGACGATCTTTATGGTATAGGATTCAGAGATTGTCTGCTACCTATCAGACGGTAAATATTACGTATCGGGGGTAATGAATGTACAAAATGTCGTATTTATATTACAATATGTATTTACATAGTTTATATGTGAAATGCACATTTAGCATTTTGGTTCCAGATGTGGTCAATCGACTGGGACAGTAATTGTGCTGAACCTACATGTACGTATGTGTTTATACTGTAGGTGGTTATTGTATGTGTACTCTAAACTGAGTGTACCTTCATAATAATGGTTGAACAGAATTAATTTTTTGTATACTTCATACCACCGCCGCCTTATTTTGGTCACTGTTTGTTATATTGACTACCATTATATTGTATCTCAGTTCAGGTACTATTTGCATCTTTGAGCAATAAAAAGAAAAATACGAAGGAGGAAGGCCGACCTCAAGTAAATGGAATTAGGTTTAGAAGAAATAACTACGTAGATGTATAAAATAAACTGGATGCCGTATAATTTGCACGAAATAAATTCTGATGAAATAAAAACGCCAGAAAGATATAATTTTAACTTATCTCTTATTAGTTGCTAAATGTAAGGGTCAGGTAATATTGCAATAATAATACAGTAATTAATTTTAAAGTAAGTGGCTTTCCTTTTTGTAGTTTTCTTTATTATTAGGGTATTAGGTACATAAATATGCATGAGATATTTGGATTACTTCCGCAAAATGAAAATTATGATGTTATAAACTCAAAACTCATAAGGAACTATTTATTAACAGCAAAAAAAATATGTTTCGTTAGAAGCAATAACATTCTTAAGTTCATTTTTTATAATGATTGTGGAATATTATTTGTTACTGCAGGTTACATGTGTAATTCAGAAGAGCTGTTTATTAAGAAATAAATAAGAAGATGCTCCTACTCCTACCAGCGGCAAGTTTTTAAAAATTCTTAAAGTTCGTTCGCTGTCTGTCAGATAGCGCATTATGTGCTATTATCTATGGTCAATAGATCTATGAACTATTTCTATGAATATAAATGGTCTATGAATGTGGTGAACTCCCGACCACCTCCCAAAGAGTTGTTTATTTATTAAGTAAATACGAAGTAAATTGCGGCGTTCGAACTTATTAAAGCGGATTTATACAAGTTTACGCAATATTTCTAGTAAAGACTGAAATGAACAAATAATGAGTAACATAAATTGGAATTCGGTCTAGTCAGAACTCTTGAAATTGTTTTATAAAGTTTTTCATTTCGAGGTTTTGAAGATTTCGTTTTTGTGTATTTTTATTTAAAATTGTCATAGCACGGTCGTTTTTCAATAATTGTGGAACGGTGTGTTTTAAGTGGGTGCTTCAATTGTTTAAGTAGCGCTTATTTCCCAAATTTTTTATGTTCAGTGAAGTTTAATAGTCACTCTGGAATTCCCCTATAGGTAATTGATGTTTAATAAGTTATCACTTATCATCAACAACGAAGGAAACACGAAGGTAAAGTTCATCTTTTATTGTTTAAAAATTTCTAGCATAATGTAAGCAATATCTTAATTAATTAAATATAATTTATCTACGCAGTACATACAAAAAAAACCGACAAGTCTACATTATAAATATGCCTGTACCTACTGTGAAGATAATAAGGTTTTACAGTTTTTATTAAATATGAAAAAATTATTTACAGAGGTAAATTGCATATGCACTGTGTTACGAATATGTATTGCACTTTAAATATGTTGCGTTTTTATAATAAATCTGTCTTCATACAGTTTATGTTGAAATAACCACTGATTTAAAATAAGACAACTATTACATTAATTAATATTCGTATTAATTGTGAATAGGTACAACAACAACAATCAACATTGATACATAAAATTTTTTTTTTTGATACCTCTTCATGATCAGAATAAGATCAAAAGATCCGTTTTTAAATAAATGCGGGTTTTGTCATGGCTTTTCTGTTTTGTTAAAAAAAAAATACAGAAAGTTCACAAGTTTTATTGACGAACATAATTAACATTATACGAAACAAAATAAAATTACATGTGCATGTAATATTACAAAACCGATATTAATATACATATATATAGTTTTATTAGTATAATCACAGGCAAGTAAATAAATATATTATGCCATTCATTAAGAAAAATAAATTTCAAGTGCACAAGTTTTCACCTTTAATGTATTATAAACTGAGTACCAACACTCTCCTGTAAAACATGCAATAANGTGAGGATGGAAGGAGTAGTAGGGATATAAAGCAGAGGATAGCGCAGGGTCGTGTCGCCTTTAATAAAAAGAAGTCACTTCTATGTTCGCGAACGGTTAATTTCGAAATTCGAAAAAAATTTTTACGGGTGTATGTTTAGAGCTCGGCGTTGTACGGGTGCGAAACATGGACAGTGGGCGCTGCGGAGGTTAGAAGCCTTCGAAATGTGGTGCTATAGGCGAATGATAAGGATAACGTGGGTAGAAACAGAGGACTCTATGGAAGTCAACAAGAAATAGACGAGATACGTTGATAGGACACCTTCTTAGGCATGAAGGGCTAGTCAGAGACATATCAGAGGCAGAAACAGGAGCTAGGAGGGGTAGCGGTAGATCTAGATTAGATTACTGTACGCAAATAGTTAAGGATGTGGGTTGTTCTAGTTTTAGGGAAAAGCTCAGGATAGGAAAGAGTGGAGGTACGTGTCCAACCAGTCTTAGGACTGACGACCTTATGATGATGATGATGATATTTAAATGTGAGTTTTGTTTGGTGCTACCTTTAGTATAACCCTAGTATCCATGCTTTAATGCTAACTTATAAACTTCACAACTTACTCATTAGTTTGAAAGTTGCTGTTAACATCTCGTTTTATGCGTTGTGAATCGTTGTTATTAGTACGAATACCAACGACAGAAGAAGTGATCATCATAGCGGCTTTTGCTGTCGCCTCAAACTTGTGCATATGTTCAGCTTTATAATAAGGTGTTTTTTCTAAAATTTTTGGCTTACTAGCGTATCTGTAAATCTGTTTTTCTTCCTTTTTGTCGAATGCGTTACTATCAACGGGCAGGCCGAGTAATGTAGCAATTTCGGGCGGTGGATCTAAGAAGTCTCCTTTTTTAACAACTGTAATAAACGGCTTTTTAGGTTTCTCTCCGATTTTCTCCTGACGGGGTGATCTCCTCGGGGCTTTCTGGGTTTGCTTCTGAAGTTTTCGAAGTTTTGCGTTCAACATTTTCGTGAAGTTTGTATCGATTTCCTTGCCGCTCATAAAGTTGTTGTAGTGATATTCAGTTGTTTTCGGATCTTTTTGAAAACCGATCGAGTCCAAACGCGGCATGGGTAGAACGAAAACATTAGGTTTTTGTTTTTGGCTTTCCGTACCGAATGGTTTAAAAATAGCTTCACCGGTAACGGATATAGGAAGATCGTCCTGATTAAGGACTTTGAAAGCGGAATCGTTGTCGTCATTTTCGTCTGACAGTAATTTTGAAAAAGGAGGATTTTTGCTGTCCGGCATTTTACATTACAAAACCATTTTCTCTGCTTTTCAATAAAACTGTTACCTATTATTGATCAGAGAATTGTACAATAGCACCGTCGAGTTTACTTTCGTGCGGAAAAATAGGTGCCCACCACGTTGTCAAGAATAACCGATACCAACACAACTGACCGGTGTCCAGCGATGTGGTTTTAAGGTACTTTTTACGCATGCCTTTAACGTTTGTTATAATGCGGCGAATGTCTTTAAATAAAAATAATCGAGATCATTTGTTATCGTTTACTTCGGATAGGAAATTAACCTAACACCTCCGCTTTAAGCATCGATTATTATCTCGGTAACATCATACCCTTAAGAAGGTATTAAGGCGTAATGAAAACACAAGAAAGTAAAACATGAAAGCCTATAAAATTATGTATCATGCTAGCTATGAAGAGGCGAGAAACGCTTTAATTATACCATTTACACCACTAATTAGAGGATGGTAGCTTTCAGGTAGCGGTGAGTGATTTCTGAGACCTTATTACAGAACAGTACAATAATTTTTTGTCTGATCCACAATATACAGTAGAATCTGCTTATAATGACATCGAAAAGAAATGACAAATACATGTCATACTAAGCGGGCGTTATACAAAGCGAAGTCTTAGAAAATAAACAACTTTCTATTTTGGTTAGTTATTTAGTTTAATAGAGAGAAAAAGTACAAATTGTATATATTTATTAACAGAAAAAGAAAAAGAACGATGAATTGTAATATCAATATACATAAGAAGGGTCAGAAGAATGAGCGAAAATGTTATTATTAATTCAAACTTTCCTATAGAGAATTTAATATGAAAACCAAACTTAACATTACAATTACTTCATATTAAACGGTTGGTCAATATAGGCGGAGTCATAATAAACGA